CGCGGAACTGTGGGTAGACATTAGCGGCAATAAAAATTAAAACAAAGCAAAAGTAGATAAAAAAAATACATTGCAGTCGCTAATTGGTTAATCGAATGACCGACGTAATTGGGTCAAATGTTGCTTGCTTGGTACCTGACGTCATAGAACGTGAACTCCCACTATCACTTGTAGTGTAGGCCATTGAAAGTATAAAAAACGAAACATATAGATCTATATTCTCGGTATTTCTAAATATATTCTACCTTGTTTATTATTTACTTAAAAATGTAACCACCATTCAAAATATAATCATAAAGGCTAGAAAATGACATTATACTAGATTTGTTACGACATTCAACACGTTTCATATCTCATAATTTCTCGCAAGAATTCTACTTTGATTTTTAGTTGAATTAACCAATCATAAAATTTCTACTTGCAAGCGAGCAATTATTTCTTTATTGTCCAATCATTAGACGCCTCCCAATTTACTTTATTCTTAGTAACATTATGTAATCGTAATATTATCGCCATCTGTCACATACGAAGGGAAACAGAGTATTGTTTTGTATATTATCGTAGATATACATTGAATTAAATGTTTCAAATGAACCAAATTAACCAGGTAAACAAATAACTACGGCCTTAAATAGTTTAAATTTTCATTAAAGAATTGTAAGTTTTCATTAAAGAATTGTACATGTCTATGAAAAAATTCCTGAAATTTGGGACAGGGCCCTGTTTCTCGAAAATCTTAACTGAAGATAAAATCCAAATTTTAGTAGATACTTCAATTTTGATTGGCAAAGTAATAAAATCAATCTTAATATTATCCAATCAAATTACTAAAATTTGGATTTCATCTTAGTTAAAATTTCGTGAAACAGGCCTCAGGTTTTCAAAGTTAAAATATGTATTCAATATTGATTGACTGTTCACATTACAATTTTAACTTTTGAAGGAGTTAATGTTTATACTTCGTGTATAGAAAGAAAAAATCATTGAATTTATATTTTCTGTAATAATAAATATTCACTTGTAATAATTTTAGTGATTATATGTAGGTCTACTTTATAGTACTGACATTTACTGTCCGGTAGCAACAATCATTTAATTTATTTCATTCATCATGATGTGTGGAACTGTTAAATGAAAGACTGTGACCTCTTTAAACATGAAAGTAAACTATCAGTTTCAAAGGAGAATTTGATAAACAAAATATCCATTACAAAAACAGTCGGCTCACAGGACCGACTCACCATCTTCAAAATAAAAAGGTGTCAGCCCGTCCAGTTATTTATCAGCGACAGACCGACCTAAATTTTAAGCACTGGCCGCAATTGTGAATGGATCAGCTTGGAACTTGGCTGATGTATTCCTTACAGCCTAAGGGTGGCAACTATTGATTTTGGTGCATGTTCCGACCCCCAGGGGCAGAGCCATGGCCAATTTATGTGGTTAGCGCCCGTCAGCCACAATTCTGAATGTATTATCTTGGAACTTGTTATACTTTTTCCTTATACCCTAAGGAAGGCAACTATTGATTTTGGTGCATGATTCCGCCCCCCCCTTCCCCCGACCCCACCTTTGGGCGGTGCCACACCCACTTTTTGTTAATATTCTGTCTGTAAATAATATATAGGCTGCAATTATTAACAGATTTGGATCCAATTCGGAATGATCCATCATAGGGTTGTACCTATTTATATTGGTCCCAAGACCTAGTGCCATAGCCACACCCTGTTTTTGTGTTTTTGTCTTCTGCCTTTCAAAGAAAACAGGGGACTATTAAAATGGGTTCGTCCATCTGTCTGTCCGTCAAACTTTTTGGGACACAATAACTCTCCTTCTAATTGAGCTAGAATGTTCAGACTTGGTGTAGGTGTTTATTAGGTCAATGCCTTGATGGAGTTCGAAGATGAGCATTTTCTGCTTAGGGTAAGCCGAGATAAGCAGTTTGATTGGTAGATGCTTTGGGACACGATAACTTTAGTTCTAATTAAGTGAGAGTGATGAAACTTGGTGTATAGTTTCATTACATCAATACCTTGCCTAAGTTCTATAATGATCATTTTCTGCTCAGGGTAAGTAGAGCGATAAGCAATTTCATTGGCCGAGACTTTGGAACCCAATAACTCTTTCTAATAGTGCTAGAATATTCAAACTTGGCATAGGTGTTTATTAGGTCAATGCCTTGATGGAGTTCGAAGGGTAAGCAGAGATAAGCAATTTGATTGGTTGATGCTTTCGGACATGATAACTTTAGTTCTAATTAAGTGAGAGTGATGAAACTTGGTGTATAGTTTTATTACATCAATACCTTGACTAAGTTCGATAATGAGCATTATCTGCTCAGAGTATTAAGAGCGATAAGCAATTTGATTGGTCGAGACATTGGAACACAATAACTCTCATTCTTATATGGCTAGAATGTTCACTTTTGGCATAGATGTTTATTAGGTGAATGCCATGATGGAGTTTGAAGATGAGAATTTTCTGCTGAGAGTAAGCAGAGATAAGCAGGTGAATGCCATGATGGAGTTTGAAGATGAGAATTTTCTGCTGAGAGTAAGCAGAGATCAGCAATTTGATTTATTGATGCTTTGGGACGCGATAACTTCAGTTCAAGTTAAGTGAGAGTAAGGAAACTTGGTGTATAGTTTTATCACATCAATATTTTGACTAAGTTCTATAATGAACATTTTCTGCTCAGGGTAAGCAGAGCATTAAGCAATTTGATTGGTCGAGACTTTGAAACACAATAACTCTCCTTTTAATTAAGGTAGAATGTTCAAACTTGGTGTAGGCGTTCATTAGGTGAATGCCTTGATGGACTTCAGTGATAAACATTGTCTGCTTCGGTAAGCAGAGATAAGCAATCCGATTGGTTGATGCTTTGGGGCACAATAACTTTGGTTATAATTAAGTGAGAGTGATGAAACTCTGAGTATTGATTCATCATATCATTACCTTGACTAAGTTAGATAATGAGAATTTTCTTCTTAGGCCAAGGAGCGAAAAGCAATTTGATTGGTCAAGACTTTAGAACATAACAACTCTGCTTTTAATTTAATTGTTTAAACTTGATGTAGATGTTCATTAGGTGAATGTCTTGACCGATTACCATTTCAAGCTAAAGCTAAGCAGAGCTAAGCAATTTCATTGGCTGATGCTTTGGGACAAGATCATTTTGATTCTATCTGATAGAGAATGATGAAACTTAGTGTATAGTTGATAATCAGTTTGATTGCTTGATACTTTTGAAAAAAATAAATGCGAATAATTAATGTGTCATCTATTTATTTTGGGATTTTGGCGGAGGACATCAGCCTTACTGTTGGCTTGTTTGTCTACAGACTGGAATTCAGAATGAATTCTTGACCGATTACCATTTCAAGCTAAAGCTAAGCAGAGCTAAGCAATTTCATTGGCTGATGCTTTGGGACAAGATCATTTTGATTCTATCTGATAGAGAATGATGAAACTTAGTGTATAGTTGATAATCAGTTTGATTGCTTGATACTTTTGAAAAAAATAAATGCGAATAATTAATGTGTCATCTATTTATTTTGGGATTTTGGCGGAGGACATCAGCCTTACTGTTGGCTTGTTTGTCTACAGACTGGAATTCAGAATGAATTATCTTGGAACTTGGCATATTTATTCCTGTAAAGATAGCAGCTATTTATTTTGGTACATATCCTGACCCCCACTTTTTTGTCTGTAAATACTCTTCAGGTTGATATAATTAATAGATTGTGTTCAAATTCAGCATATCAATCATTTAAGTAACATGGTGGTACCTATTTATATTGTTTCAAATCCAAACCCCAGGGGCACAGCCACGGCCAATTTTTGTATTTGTCATCTACAGACTGCAATTCTGAATTGATCATCTTGAAACTTTGCATATTTATTCCTTATAACGTAAAGACAGCAACTATTTATTTTGGTGCATATCCCGACCCTCTGGGGCGGTGTCACACCCACTTTTTTGTTAATATTTAGTCTCTAAATTTGGCAAAACTAACCTAGCTTTCTTTGCCGCTTGTCATATTACAGTCATTGCAGCTATTTCATATTTCATTTTAAAAAGTACCATATCAATGAAAGCAGGAATGTGGACATGGAGTGTTTGTGTCTCAACTAATTCGTTATGCGAGAGCTTGTTCATTTTATTCTGATTTTTTAAGTAGATCGAGGCATTTGTCATCTAAGCTTCAACTACAGGGATACTTGCGAACTAAACTTATAAAAACCTTTAAAAAGTTTTATGGCCGTCATATTGACTTGATTGGTAAAAATAACATGCCTCTCTCGGCTATTATTTTAGATATATTTAATTGACGCGTATAATTTAATTGACGCGTATACCATCTCCCTGATGATGTCTGTCTACTACATCGTTAACACTGTTCATCGCGTGCATACCGATAGTCCATTGGCCAATCACGCTATTTTACCGAGATTTCGCCTCATAGTTTGGATGCAGCTGTGGCGTCTGGCGGGGTAAGCTTACTCTTCCGGGCACCTGTTACCACTGTTTGTCGTGTATTTTGTACACGGTGAACAGTCCATATGCTGATTACACTATGCCTATACCATTTTTTTAGGACTTCGAATTTCGTCTAATGGTTTGGATTGTTCGTACTTGGTTTTATTTTATTGCAGCGTTAGTGATGCTCTAATTAGTAATTGAATTGGAAATACATAGGTCACAATTCCATAGAATACAATTACTGTTTGTTCCAGAGCGACGTTTCGTCTAGGCTTTTCTACTAGGTTTTATCAATGGTAGAGAAAAGAAAAACCACTTGCTCGAAAATTGGTATTTGTTGCCCCAGGCAATCGTGCAGCACGAAAAGTCAAGCCCTACTGTTGAATTTCAGCAGTGATATTGTACCATCTCAAAAGATTTTGCCTTGTGGACTGCTGGGACAACCCAGCTGCTGTGGGTGTATGTTTCACTGCCTGGTAGCAAAACTTAAAATATAGCTCACAATTTTCTATTATTTCAGTGAGTGCTGTTCCAGGATTGCCTCCAAATCTTCCTCCACCAGTTTCGGCTGCTCCACACATGGGTGTACCTCCCCCTGCACCACATGTAAATCCAGCCTTCTTTCCTCCTCCACACAATTCAGCTCCACCCCCAGGAGCTATAGTAAGTTCTGTTATATAATTTATGAATGAAAATTGTTTAACCCATTGTACCCTAGAGATAATTAACAGAACACCTCTAATTCCCACAGATAATTAATCAGATCTTCTTTCTAAGGATGTAACGGTTCAAAAATTCTTGAACCGGTTAACTGGTCGTTAAAAACCCAACGTAACCGGTTAACCCATAAAATTTTTCTATCAAAATATTTGTTGCACCAAAATAAGACTTGATAATATATTTTGAAATTATTAGTATTACAGCTTTTAAGTTAACAGTCAGTACAAATTCCGTTCATTCATTCTTGATGTTTCATTTCTCCATCTTGCCCACTGACTGGTCACATAGGCTCTATAGTATAAACCAGTGATGGGATTTCAAAAAATTTCATGTCGGACATTTTTTCCCGAAAATAAAGGGGCATAACTCTTACCGTAATTTAAGCAGACGTTTTCAAAACACAAAGAATCATGTGTCAACAAAATATATTCAAATTCATATGTGTAAAAAAAATAGGTGCACCTCGTTATATTTCATGTTTAAAACCTGTATGGTATTCAAATTTATGTCAATAATATTCCTACAAAATTACATGACATCGTAATACTACTATAGAATTGGCAGCGTGCCGATCTGTTTCAAACTCCCCCAAAATTACCGTATTTTTCGGGTCATACGTCGGTACATTTTTCAGCAAAGTCCGACATTAAAGACATAAACCCCCTTCAAAATATGATCATAAATCCGACAATATGCTATCAAAATAGAATCTTTTCTCGAACATCAGGCGTATTGGATTCAGCACGTATACATCTCTTAATTTCACGTGTCTTGCGAGATTTGTACTTTCATTTTAATTACTGAACTCTATAAGCGCCATGTGTGTGAAATATCTTTATTTAACTTCGGCTTCCACCGAAAATATATCACAGACAAATTATCGGATACAATGTATGTTGATTTGAGGTGTTATATACTATTAGGATATGTGACATATATGACTAATTTCTACGTGTTATTGTCCGACACAAAGGAGATTAAAACGTGAGACAATGGTCAATGGAGAAATCACAGGTTAATCAGATAAAGTTTATAATCACTCTTATTGGATTGATATATCGTCCGACAAAGGAGAAGCAATGACTTCTGTTCAGGATTGATTTGATGAATTGTCCGATAAAGAATTAGTTCAGCCAATCAAGGAAGAATAATAGTAGTTACTCAAGGTAGGTGTGTAAGACGATATAACACGATAAATAGTCGATCACTTAATTACCTAATCAATACAGCCTATTATCAACGATAATCGGGTTGCACGGTAGTTATACACTCAGTACACTATATTAATTTTGGAATTTGAATATTATTCACCATGTTTTTATGTCAGATTTGGCATATTCCCGGTCGGACAATTTTGGGCGTTTCGATAAAAGATTTGGACAAGCCAGATATATACGGGTAAAATCCCATCACTGGTATAAACCAGTTGAATTGAAATCATGTTGATTTTTTTTTTTTTTTTTTAAAAAGCTTCACTAATACTTCACATAAGATTAGTTATGAAATCAGTATTTGAAATCATACCTTTTGATTTTTAAATACAAAATAAGTTTGATTATTCAACGTCAGCTAATTCCAAATAATTTACTACACGTGTTTCTATCACAAGACTTGCTGTATCGTATGGTACCAGTGACCCGTATGTCAACTTTAACCCCATCAGCACAGCCTCGCGCACTCAAGTGATAATATAAACAATTTTACTATTATATCCTCTCTATTTTAATATTATTTCATCACATCAAACTTGCTTCATTTCGAGACTTTGTTTATGGAGTGATGACGTTAACTGTAAAACAATTAATTTGTCAATCAATTGAGATTTAATGCTTAACAGCGAGTGCTAATAACATATACAAATGTCAAAACTTTGAGCGGGGCGGGTGGGCGGGGAATTTAAAGTCGTTAACTTCCTGAGACTTATTACAATGACAAGTGCTATTTGAAATATTTATGCGGTCTTAGTGAAAGAAAACAATGTTGTGGCTATCATTCCCGGGTTTGAAGGTCAGGTATCATATGAAAACGAATACCGATTAGTAATTTTTTGAACCAGTGCAACCGAACCGTGACCGGTTAACCGAGTGACCGTTTACATCCTTACTTCCTTCCCTAAGCTAATTAGTGGATTTGTATTAATCTACTGATACAAATAACTAATAAAAAAAAATATTTTTTATATAAAGAAGTACTTTATTACAAAAATGTACAGATTGTCTTGTATTTTCCAATGATATAAAATTCAATTGTATAAAGTTGCAATTATGTTACTAGAAATCATATTGAAAAGTCTGTTCAACTAAAAGTATGACTTTTCTCTCACACAGTGCAAGCACTAGCCATTTTGCCACTTTGCCAACAGCGAAAATTATTTTAAAAAATAAAGAGACCTATGTGTTCCTATTACTTTTCCTATTCTTCATATAGCACTTGTCATTTGTAATAAATCATGGGAAATTAACCTTGTTAAATTTCGGCTCGAAGTTTTGTATAGGATTAGCACTCGTAGCCAAGCATGAGACATAACCTCAGCTGATTGACCAACTGATTGCTATACGCCCACATTTATATGTGGACCAGTGATGGGATTTTGCCCGTATATTCCGGACTTGTCCGAATCTTTTTTCCAAACGCCCAAAATTGTCCGACCGGGAATATGCCCAATCGGACATCAAGACATGGTGAATAATATTCAAAATTCTGAAATTAATAGTTTACTGATTGTATAACTACCACTCAACACGATTATCGTCAATAATACGCTGGATTGATTAGGTAATTAAGTGATTAACGTATTTATCGTTTTATACCGTCTATAAATAACCTACCTTGATTAACTACTTAATCTGCCTTGATTGACTGACTTAATCCTTTGTTGGACAGTTTATCAATCTAGTCGTAAACAGAAGTCATTGTTTCCCCTTTGTCGGAATATTCATCAATCCAATAACTGTGATTATAATTTTAATCCTCGTGTTAACCTCGTGGTTTCTGCATTGTTGGACATTTTAATCGCATTGATGTGAGCCGACAATATGTATAACCTATAGATGTCACATATTGTAATAGACATCAATAGACAGTCATTATAACTTTCAACATGCTTCGATTCAATATAAATTGTATCCGATAACTTGTCTGTGATATTCCTTCGGTGGAAGCCAAAGTTAAATAAAGCTATTTCACACACACGCATGGCAGTTCTAGTAAAGTAACTCAAAATGAAAGTAGTCATTTAATGAAATTAAGAGATTTTTAACGTGCCGAACCTAATACGTGGGGATTATGTTTTTAAATAAATAAATAAACACGTTAAGAAATGTTGACGACTATAACCTTGAAATAAGGTTAGTTAATTGTTTTAGTAAAGTAACTCAAAATGAAAGTAGTCATCTCGAGAGACACGTGAAATTAAGAGATTTAAACGTGCCGAATCTAATACGCCCGATGTGAGAGAAAAGATTCTATTTTGATGGCATATTGTCGGATTTATGATCATATTTTGAGTGGGGTTTATGTTTTTAAATAAATAAATAAACACGCTATATATAAGAAATGTTGACGACTATGTCGATTGGAATAAGGTTAGTTAATTGTTTTAGACGATAGCGCGTGCTCGAGTCGAATGCGATTATTTAGCTGCAGTTGGTGTCACTCGCTCGTTTTTGAGCGACGTTTACTACGAAATAAATTTCGGGATGTCATATTTTTCCTTTCGTATATAAATCGAAACGGAGTATGAGATGAATGCCGGTCTTTGCTGAAAAATGTATCGAAAAATACGGTAATTTGGGGGGAATTTGAAACATGTATGTACCGATCGACAGGAGTCGTCACACTTTCATTCTATGGTTTTACGATGTCATGTAATTTTGTAAGAACATTATTGACATAAATTTTAATACCGTACGGGAATTAAGCATGAAAAATAACGAGGTGAAGATATTTTTTTTATTACATATAAATTTGAATATTTTGTTGACACGTGATTCTAATTAATTGTGGTTTGAAAACGTCTGCTTAAATAAAGATAAGAGTTAATATATGCCCCTTTATATTCGGGAAAAAAAATGTCCGACAAAAAAATTTTTGAAATCCCATCACTGATGTGGACGTATATTGTCGTCGCCCCTGTCCATCTGGACGTCCAAAACTGTTTGTGGACACTCTACAGGTAACAATTTTTATCCATTTTCAACGAAACTGGATAGATATGTTTATCTCCCTACGATCTCGGTTCCTTTCGATATTGGCATGTATCTGACTGTAACTTCATGGATCATGGCCCCTGATTGTACGAAAAATCGCGTTTTTATCTTGTGGACCCTATACAGGTGAAAATTTTTATATGGACATATATTGTCATCGCCCCTGTCCATCCGGACATCCGTCCATCCACAATTGTTGTGGACACTCTGCAGGTCACAATTTTGATAAGATTTTAACGAAACTTGAAATATAGGTTTTTATTTTATGATCAGTAGTGGAATACCGCGTTTTATCAGTGAAATAAAAGTGTTATTCCACTGGCTAGTTGTTTTTACCTAAAATGATTGTAAAATCATAAAATAAATAGAACATTTGTCGTTTTGTCGTGAATAACCTATTTTATTTCATCTCTAAGCAAGAAAACGTTTATATTTTCACCCATGCTACGCATTTGTGAAAATATAAGTTTTCTTGCTTCTCGATAAAATAAAATAGGTTATTCACTCTAAAACGACAAATATCCTCTATATCTCCCTAAGATCTTGGTTACTTTCATATTGGCATGTATCGGACCGTAACTTCACGGATTATGGCCCCTGATTGTTGGAAAAATCACGTTTTTAGCTTGAGGTCCCACTAGATGTCACAATTATTATCCGATTTAAAAAAAACTTTCAAATATATCGCCGTTACACAGTAATTTTGGTTGAGTTCGAATTTCGTTAAAATCGGAC